AGAGAGAGAGAGAGAGAGAGAGAGAGAGAGAGAGAGAGAGAGAGAGAGAGAGAGAGAGAGAGAGCTGCAGCATGCAGCATGTGGTGGGGAGCACAAGGGCAGGCGCTGACCTCCAACAAAAAGAAGAAGTAATTTTATCGGAATACAAGAGGTTTTTCTTTTTGAAATCCGAATAGAAAGGGTACAGATTGTATTCGAATCCAACGTGTAGGACCTGCACCGTTTCAATTTCGAAAAAGGACTGCGGCCTCCTCGGCCTCCAACTCGCAGCTACCGGTCCTACGCGTTCCTGGCCCTTGCAAGGCCCCAAAACCTCAAATGCCCACCCTCCCGACGACCACCGACGTTGACCTTGACGTTGAATGTTGAATGTCTCAGGGGGGGAAAACGCATCCCTGACGGGCTGCGAACACATCCACACACACACTCTTCTTGTTTTTTTCCCGCCAAAAAGTTAGCTTCAGCCCACTAGAGCAGGTGATATAAGCATCCCCCTATAGTGGGCTTACGGAAGAATGCTCCCGTCTAGTGGTACGTAGCCTCACCTCCTGAAACCGGGTCCAGCTTCTCATGAACATTCTGAATGAAGCACCAGCTGGGACCCCCCCCACACACACACTCGGAGTTGTGTTACTCATTTCTTCGCTCCTTTGTTTTTAGGGAACTTGAAAAAACATAAACACAGTATACACTAACTTACCGTTCCCCAACCAAATCGACAAACAAACTCCGGGCTGCGCATCCCGTGCCCTCACTCACGGTAGGTCAATTGCATAAACCACTGCATACCTTTCACAGGTGACCCAAATTCGACAACTTTCGTGCTGTCTACCAGAATGGCAAGCCGAACGGCTTGCTTGACATGGACCACAAGCTCCCCAAAGGTTTTGCCTTTGGTCCCGCGACGTTTGAATCAGCGGCACGAGCATTTTGATTGGGGCATCCCGCTGCAACGTGCAGACGAGTAAGCGTTGATGAATACAATGAATACATGAGAAGTTCGAATCCTGAAGAAATTGGGACGATACAGCAATGCTAGGGGCGACTCGCGATTTTCTATCTTTTTCCCAAATGCTTCCCAACCTGACGTCTGCCGGCGTGGGCGCGGCCCTCTTCCCTTCTCCGGAGTAATGCTATCGCGGCCTGAGCGGAGTATGGGCGCAATGGCAGAGGTTTGGAAGCTCGCCTGGATGTCATGTGGCGATCGAGTCAAAGGGAGCTGGCGCACACGATACTGGAGGGGATATGGACCCAGTGTGCATAAAGGACCGCTCGATCAATCTTACCGATTATTTTAGAGAATGCCTACCGCCAGGGGAGCCGGCCGCAGAGAGATGATGGCGCGCAAGTCCTGTGCTTGTCCAACATCTTGGCGGGAATCCAGCGGGCAGAGATCTTGATTGATGCTGCCGCAATGTAAGGTTGATGGCGTGGCTAGGTTGATGAGGTGGGGGAAAGAACTGGCACAGGGATGCTTCTGTGCGGCAGCTTGAAAGAGTTAAACGACGTTTGCCTGAGCAAGCAAGGCTTGCACAGCCTGCTCTCTTACTCGATGCCTGATCCCGATTCATTGGGAATGACGATGTTAACTTTGCCCTGGCATCTTTATCTCCGTACAAATGACAGTAGTGGCTTAGTCTTCCACGACATGTCGGCTTACGTCTGACTTGTACTTTTTTGTGTCGAGCTGTAGCCGACAACTGTATTTGTTGTCGAGCTGCTGCTTGTATCCCGTCCGGTGGAGAATGATCTCTGGAACCAGTTGTGAATGCATGCTTGGACGATGATGATGATGGTGGTGGCGGCGGAGGCGATGGAAGACCGAGGCGGAGAGCTTGATCTTGTCCGTGTTGGGCCTATGACGAGGCGAGACATGATTGTCTTGCCTTGGTTTGGAGGTCTGTGGCTGCTTTTGCTTGGTTAGGACAGCCAGATCGTAGGTCAATTGACAGATTGATAAGAAAGTCAAATCCCCAATAATTGGCTGATTATGTTGGCTTCTCTCTGGGTGGATGTCCTCCATCAATTAGACTATTTTACAACTCTCTCCCAATCGGGAGAGTTATGCATCACATCGGTCTGCAGCAGCTCAGCATTTGGTCCAATGCTTTTCTGAACTGTGCACAAATCTGATCGGGCAAATCAATCATGTGGAGGCCAGATGAAGAAGGATCCCAGACGAAGAAACAAGGATTGACTGATCGAACCGCAGACGCGTAGAGGCTCCACGGCAGCGGCGGCGGCGGAGGGGGAGCCTAGAGAAATATGTTCACGAAGAAGAGGCATTTGTAGGGGTTGACCGTTTGATACGCAGAGTAGAGGGTGGACGATAGCTCAGACAGACAGGCAGGCAATTGACGGATCTGTTAGCGCCAGTAAAACACTCGATAAGAAAAGTTTGTGAATTGGAGGAAGGAAAAGCGCTGATGGAAGAGGGAATGCATCCAAAAGGGACTTTTTAAGAATACGGCTACTTGTTCGACTGTGATTCCTGTACATGGGTGAGCCGCCCTACAGGTTCGGGATGTAATTGTAATAGTAATGTCGAGGCCGTTTAACAAATTAAAACCGGGGCTAATTAGCACCCCGCGGTCCAGTCAGCGAACGGCCAGAACAACCAAGAAGGGCGGCTTTAAGACAAAGAGGACAGGAAAACGGGCATATATATCTGTCTCGCGCGGTCACTTTTTCCTTTTAGAATGCTCGAACGTTACGGCTGGGTTTATAAGAAGTGGTACTCTACGTTGCCTATCAAAATGCCCACACGATCAGATCGTGGGCACACAAGATGAGAGGAAAAGGCCGTAAGGACATACTGTATGCAACAGGGCCAGACGCACCAGTGAATGATTGATTGAATGCTTGGGCGATTGATAGAGGTGATCAATTTGTAAGCCATCTCCTTTTTCGTGTTTGAGGACACATGAGGCAACAGGCTCAGGAGTATCATGAAGGGTGATTTATTGATTCACTTTGCTGCGTGATCAAATGATTAACTGGATTGGTTGATTGATTGATTTGGTCTGATTTGGTTGCTCTAGTTTGGTTTGATTTGATTGATCGATCGCTTTATTGATTATTCTAGGCGATCTCCGTTGAGCGGTGAAGGCGATATCGCGAGTGGATCGCTGGATTGGCCATTCACTGGAGGGATGGGAGTTGTTGTGTTGGCGTTTGAACTTTCAGTGCTACGTGGCGATTCTGGTCTTGGCCCAGGTTCAGGTCCTGATCCTGGCCCTGATCGCGGACCTGGATCTGGTTGTCTATTTGTGTGGTAAGTGTTGTCTCGCTTGATTACGTCGAAGAATCAACCACCGCAGTGTGCTCGTGCAGCGAAAGCGTTAGCCGCGAGGAGATGAGCGTTTTGCTTGGGGTAGGTGATCATGTTTTGGAACACGCCAGCTCGGGCTGCTTTTGTTAGTCCACTCATCCGCGCTCAGGAAACATTGTGGATATGAAGAGCGAGGGTTGGGAGGAGGGAGGAGACATCGAGTGCGGAGATGTGCAATGCCTGCGATTCCAAGATACTGCTCGTAAGTGGAAACGATATCAGTGTTTGCCTGAGGACGCGTTTGGAAGCGTTATCGACTCGCATCCCGTTGACAGGCGCCAGACTACAGACATTGCCAACAGGAGGTACAGTGAGAACTGTTCCCGGAAAATGACGACGACTTTTCCACTTTTCCATCGATGTGCGCTTCTGTCTTGCTATCTTTCACTCCTCCCTACCGCTGCTCCTATGCCTATGGCCTATTATTATACTGCTTCTATCCAGGCTGCTTACACCTCCGTGGCCATCGCTCTTCAGCATTTGTTCTGATGCAAGTTTGAAGTACATAGAATTACTAATCGACTTTTTCATTGCTGTGCCCCCTCGCAAGGCTTGGCAGGCGCTATGGCACGGATTTTAGTTTGACAACTTTTCTGCTCTGTGTGGATTTCACCTTTCCTATCAGCGAGTGCTTTTGCCTGTGCAAGTGTACGCATAGGCGTGCATGCGCGTGAGCGGGCGCATGCATGGGCATGTGTGTACGGACCTGCGTGCGCGTGCACACGTGTGCATGTCTGCGGAGGTGCGTGTTGTGCGTGTGTGCGCGCGCGCGTACGTGCGAGTGTGCGTGCGGGTGGATGTGTCCATGTGCGTGCATATGCGCGCGCGCGCATGCTGTGCACGTGTGTATAGCCTGCGTGCGCCTGCACACGTGTGCATGTGTGCGGAGGTGCGTGTTGTGCATGCGCGCGCGTGCGTCTACGCGAAGTCTGCGTGCGTGCATGCGTGCGTGTGCATGTGTGCCCATGTGCGTGCATATGCGCGCGCGTGCCATGCATGTGCACGTGTGAATGTGCCTGCCTGCGTATACATGTGTGGGTGGTGTGCGCACTTGTGTGCATGTGCGTGCGTGCGTGCGTGCGTGTGGATGCGCTTGCATTTGCGTATGTGCGCGCGCGCGCGTGCCTGTGTATGTGTGCGCTGGCACGCTTGCTTCTGGGTGCGTGTGCTTTTACTGCTTCTGACGTATTACGGCAGTTCGTGTTCTCAGTGTTCCCCTCCCCCTCCCCGCCCCCCGGCCCCCCCGCCCCCCCCACGTTGGTGCTATGCAAACTTAGTTGATGGCACGCAAATTGATGTTATCGGTGCGCGGAATTATTTGCTACTCGTGTATTGCTCTTGGTGGTATGCTACCTTAGTTGACGGCACGCAAATTCATGTTGTCGGCGCGTGGAAATATTTGCTACTTGTGTATTGCTCTTTGTGCTGTCCATTTCCTGTGTTAGTTTCATCGATTGGGATGATCGTTTTCCTACAGGTTGGCGGATAGCACCCATTTGCAGTTTTTTTTCTTTTCCCCGTTCCTGTGCCGAGCTTCAGGTTATTCAAGGTAAGTAAGCCTTTCTGCTAGCTTGTACGGCCACTCACTGCCTCTCCCCTTAGGTACAAAGTGTGTAGAGGCTCCTGAACAGTATGCTTGTTCGTGCGTGTATCTTTTCGTTCGACCTTCATGTTTTTTGCTTCTTTTAAACGTATCATCTCTCCTGTTCGTGCATCGGCTGCGTGATACGAAGAAAAAAGCCAAATATATTTCCTGTACCTGTCTGTCAACAGAACTCCCATGAACTCTTTCTTCTGATCGTGTATTTTGACATTCAATAATACTCAAGAATGTCAAGTACGTAATTAAGAAGGATTAACAACAAAGGGGGGGGGGAAGGAGGGGGCGGGGCGGGGGGAGAAGATGAAGATTTCATTTTTCCTTTTTTTTTTTGCAATGATCGATCTTCTTGTCTTGTTAATGTACCTCATGCACCGGGCTCGGCCTGGCCTGACCCGACCGAGGGGAATGGGAGGGTGGAGGGTGGGCGGATGTGTGTGTTGCATCCGTGGGTCGTGTTTCCGATGTGCATATATATGAAGCAGACTGGACTTGCTGGAAGCATACCTCGCAAGCAAAGGCAAACGACTTAACAATAATGTGGTGAGTGGTTCGAGACTGGGAGATCGACTCTGAATTGGATACAAGAGTTTCTGCCTTGCCTCGCACTTGCTGTACGGTGAACTCTATAAGGAAACTCTTGACAGTCATCATTATTACAACAATAGTACTATTAGGGCATATTATGTTATCCTGTTATATATATTTACCGGGCAGTTCTGTTTGAATATTCAGCCTCCTGATGAGTCGGTGAAACTCCGACGAAACAGTTTGTCACAGCCCCTCGTTTGTTGTCCTCTTCTCCCTCTCTGCCTACGGTTTACCGGGCAGTTCTGTTTGTGACGATATATATTGTGTATATTATATATTATATATATTGCTATTAATACATATGAACTTGTGACTATATACTAGCAAACTACACATTGTGTGGTACCTCACTTTTTTCTGAAGCTGAGCAATCATGCGTTTTAAGGGTTCGTCCTAATTGGGGCATAACCAATCATATCAATTATACTCTTTAAAATAGAAACAAGAATAAACCAGATGTGATGAACGGGAACCCCCACTTTCAGCTCCTGCTTAACGGCTCCAGAACTGAGGTCGAGCTTGGCGTGTGCCAAATTAGGTGTATTTTGGAATGAACGATAGAAACACTCACATGAATATGAGATGTAGGAAAGAATCGGTATAAGGATGTAATTAATTTTCTATCGAGTATGAACATTCATAAATGATAATCATAAATGATAAATAATTATGAGGGATAATTTGCGAAATACCCTCATAAGTTGAGATATATGCCAAAATGCCCCTGAAAGATGTGGGTGGGTAGAGCGGAATGCCCTTTTGGGTCGAAATCTTTGTGTTGTGCCCCTGTTAGGTGGGTGTGCAACTTTGCAATCTGGACCTCCCCGTTTGGGCCTTGGCCTTTTGCAATGGCGCCTGGACGAAGTTGGCAAGTATTGGGGCATTTTGCAAAGTTGGACAGTACCCGCTAGGGGTATATTGCAAAGATGGGGGTCCAACCGACGCCAGGGGTATTTCACAAAATATATTTTTTGATCAGAGGGTATTCCGCTCTACCCACATCTTTTAGGGGCATTTTGGCATATATCTCAACTTATGGGGGTATTTTGCAAATTATCCCTAATTATAAATGAAATAAAGCAAGAAGATTATTAAATTAGACTGAACAAATGATTATACATGGTATGCTGAAATAAAACAAGAAGATTATTAAATTAGACTGAACAAATGATTATACATGATATGCACCGATGTTCATAACCTAAGGAGTGGTTGTGAATCCATCGTTCAGCCATGTTCAGGCTGTTGCATCCACGTGTGCACGTTCATCAGTCCTTGGCTAAGGGCGAGTTTGAAAATGCCCCTCAAGAATGTCACCTGGATCTCTGTACCATCATGGAGCAGATGATGCATCTGAACATCAGTGTGAGGGGAAAAAAAAAAAAAAAAACACCAAGAAAAAAAGGCAAACCTGGAAATGGCCCCCAACCCAAAGTTTGGAAGGGGACATTAGACTTTTGCCGTTGCAGTTAGCTAATATTTTGCATATACCCTAAAAACGTAACCCCTGTATGGAACCTCCATGATGGAAATGTGGCCCTGCAGATTTTCCGTTTTCTTAAAAGAACTTGATCAGGATTCGAACAGCTACTAACAGTTACATGTGTGTGCCGTTCAACCCATGAGCTGGGTGCTAATCGTCTATTGTGTGTCCTGGTTGTGAGGGCACATCTACAGCTGTCCGAGGACATGCACTAGGTCTTTCATGGATTTATCTGACCACAACTACGGCCGGTCCTGGATGTATCTCACCCCAATTGCATCCAGAGATCAGACGAAAAAGTCTGAGTATGCCCTGAGTCATAAGCCATCTTGTTTGAGTTCCTTGTCAGGACTATCCCTGAACACTAACCCCTAACCCCTAACACCTAAATCCTAAACCCTAACACCCAACACCTAAACCCTAAACCCTAAACCCTAAATCCTAAATCCTAAACCCTAAACCCCAAACTGGGGGTCCTGAACCCCAACCCTACCCCCTGAACCCTAAACCCTAAGTACTGAACCCTATGTGCTATGCTCTATCGCCTATACCAAAATCACTATCATGTACTGGTCAAAGGTACCCTCTGTCTGGATGAACCTGATGACTGCATTCACTGTGATTACCCCCATTACCCTCTTTTCTCATTCCTATTGTGTCCCAGAATGTAGCAGCAGGGCCCTCAGAAATATCCCAAGCAACTTATTTTCACAGTTTCAGGTCTAAACTCCCTCACTTGTTATGCGAACGATGTGTTTCTTGAACTTTCTTTGTGTTTTCGGATAGCTCTCATGGAAACAATTTCCACGGTTTCTGTTGAGCAGGCAGTGAAATATTGTGTTTTATAGGCTTTCAGGCTTGGGAGCCCTTGAGTGTTGCGAGGTGTCCATGTGGGTGTATTATTTCAGTCTTCGGTGGGGAGTGCCATAATGGTGGCACTTGTACTCAAGATCACAACACACCAGATATCAGAGAATGAAAGAGCTTTATCTGGACCACAAACGCCAACCATAAGTGCACAACCACAGTTAGGGTGTGGTCTATTGAAGCAACAGCTCTAGTCTTAAAAATTGCACTGAAGGCAAGCGAGGCATGGAATGAGACTCCCACAATCCCAGAAGACAAAAGCCTGTCTATGATATAGTACAAGCCAAATCCTCTGTGGCAACTTGTGGCAATGATGATGAGGAGTGCGATGACAACCTCCAACCATGACCAAAACTCAATGAAGATGGATTTTTTTTTTGTGGTCCTGCTGGGGGACTGCATACCTCTTGGTCATACTTGCGGTGCGCGTGTGCCATGCACCATGCGCAAATTAGTGATGCTCTCGGTGATCTTTTTTTTGGGGGGGTGGGTGGGTTGTGTGCGTGTGTATACAGGGGCGGGGGAAGAGAGAGAGAGAGAGAGAGAGAGAGAGAGAGAGAGAGAGAGAGAGAGAGAGAGAGAGAGAGAGAGAGAGAGCAAAGGATCCCTTTCTAGCAAAGGATCCTTTTCACACATATCAGAGGGCACCTGCAGGTAATCTGAGGGGTCCTTGCAGCAAAATAGCGTAGCCTTCTGTGTTTCAGCAGTTACGGTGTCGGCCCAAATACCTTTACAAGGGTATTTGTGCACATTTTTGCATCTCGCAGAAGGTGCGTTTTTTGACAATATTCGAGAGAGTGTCCCATTTCTGTGTGACCATAACCAACTCTCAGGGGTTGGGAATGACTCACGCTTCTGATCTGATTGGAGAGTGCGTGAGCGTGCACTTCGAGGGCACACATGGGTTTTTAGGCGGACGGTCTGGTTATGTTTATGAGAGCGGCGCACAAAAGAAGAAAATTTCTCAAGGTACCCCTTGGACTGCTTGAGTATTGAAAGGAGCATTTGTCTGAGAACATGACCAAGAATCTGAAAACCTTACGCTTGCGGAAAAGATCAGCGAGACTACCACCCGGCGTGAGGGCTGAGCTACATCCCCAATGTCAAAAGCTCTCTCGCTCGATGGCCCACCCGCATCCATCTCAAAGCACTAGGTGGGGGTGGCCCCGTGACGAATGGCCCGCGCCCTGAGCATGAGCGTGGGCGGGCCGAGCCAACTGGGACCCGCAGTGGGGTCGACACGCTCGAAAGTCTAATGGGGTTAGGCCCTACAACGGGCCCATTTGTTGCTCAACTATGAGGTCTTGTTTCGATCTGGCGTGCATCCACAGAATGACCAATAGCTCTAGTGGGCAAGCATTGGGGATACTGGTAGTTTAACTTTAAATTGAATGCTATCTTTCCTGGATTGTGCAGAAGGGAGGTGCTTTGTTTCAACTCAAGGCATTGCAAGACAACCTCAAAGAGTTCAGGGTTTGGGTGGATCTGTTTGCAGCAGAGCAGGCAAAGAGAAGGTGCAGTGGTCACGTCCTTACCCTGTTTATTTGCTTGACTGAAGAGTATGTTCATTAAAGTCATTTGCTTCCACACTAAGTGTTGCACCCCCCGACGGTCGAAGGCCCTTGACTGGTTGGCTGCCGACCCGCTGACCGATCGGCTGGTCGGCATGTACCGGTCGGGCGTGGTCGGCATCCCGCCAAAAAGAATAAAAAAATAAAATAAAAAATAAAAAAATTTGGGGGGTCCAGAACCCCTAATAACACCACCAACACCCCCATAGCACCCCCCAATACCCCCATACACCCCCCCAACACC